GAGTTATATTAATCGAACTTTTTTCTTCAAAACGAATATACGTATAGTTATTTTGTAGAATTAAACACATTTATGTGATTTATACAAAATTTTTAGTAACTGTAAAAATGTTTGCAAATTGTTACATAAATTTGGTTCATCCTGCAAACAACTCTGAATAAGATCATTATGGAGAAAAAAGTTCGAAGAAAGACACCCCTAACTACGCCCAAGCATTTTATGCATTTCAAGGACGCGAATTTTAGGTGATTTTCAAACGTCGATATCTAACATCTAACCAAATTTTTTACAGCTACTGAAAATATACTTAACATTGTTCTCAGAATTTAATTATTTTCATTATACATACAGGGTGTCCGAAAATTTCACCGAAAACGTTTGACTGCATATTCACTACTATAAATAAATACGATCTACGAAAAAAAAATTAAATAAAAATTTTTTAGTTTTTGAGTTACAAGTCTTCAAAGTTGTTTAATTAATAACTTCATAACCCTTTTACCGATCGCGTTAAAATTTGGAACAATTATTTGGACTATTATGGCGTATTGTTTCTTAAAACTTTAGTCAAATCGATATACTAGGTGATAGTTTTCTCCGGATACCTATCCCTTTTAGCGGTCAAAACTTTTACAGTGGTCGTCTTTTTTAAAATGGGCAGCAACATTGAAAAGGTCGTTTTATTTAAAAAAAAATATTGTCTCTTGAGAAAATCGCCTAGAGCCTAGAGGAAGCCATTATTGAGAAAAATCGCATTATTTGCAGGTCTGCATGTTTCGGTTTGCGTAGCAGTGTCACGAATTTAAAACTGTGAGTTAAGTAGACGATGAAAACAAGATGTTGATTGCTGTGGCTATCAAGTAATGTCATTATTGTCGTGTTTCTTTAGGATTCTCATCACTCCACACACGCAAATTATGAAAACTGTTTTGATACACTGCGGACACTTCATAATTTGCATGTGTGGGGTGATGAGAATCCTAAAGAAACACGACAATAATGACGTTACCTGATAGCCACAGCAATCAACATCTTATTTTCATCGCCTACCGAACTCAGTTTTAAATCCGTGACACTGCTACGCAAACCGAAACATGCAGACCTGCAAATAATGCAATTTTTCTCAAGAGACAATATTATTTTTAAAATAAAACGACCTTTTCAATGTTTCTTCCCGTTTTAAAAAAATACGACTACTGTATAAGTTTTGACCCCTAAGAGGGAGAGGTAACCGGAGAAAACTAACATCCAGTATATCGATTTGACTAAAACTTTAAGAAATAATATGCCATAATGGTCCAAATAAATGTCCCAAATTTTAACGCGATCGGCAAAAGTTATTAATTAAATTAGTTTTGTTTTTGACAGCTTTGAAGGCCTGTAACTCAAAAACCAAAAAGTTTTTATTTAACTTTTTTTCGTAGATCGTATTTATTTATCGTCGTGAATAGGCAGTCAAACTTTGTCGGTGAAATTTGCGGACACACTGTATACAGGGTGAGTCAAAATTCACTCCCCAGCGGCCGGATATATTCTAAAATAAAAAATAAAACAAAAATGTAGAATACTAAAATCTCGAAAGCGGAGCCGTTTTCGGAAAATTTTGTAGAGAAAAATTCAAATTTACAATTTTTTTTGTTTAATATTAACACCATTAAAATCCACCATTTAAATCCATACAAAATAAGAAATAGCAAGAACGAAGATCCTTCTGGCTTTGGCTAACCTTCAAAACAATTACCATTTTCGTTAATACACTTCTGCAATCTGTGGTAGAAACTCCTGGCAACGGAACAGAAATTAGCTTCATTTATTTCCGCTACTGCTTCATGAATCCTGCCTACAGGCACAGTAAAATAAACTTTTCTTTTATGTATCCCCATAACCAAAAGTCTATCGGAATCAAGTCAGGAGACCGAGGTGGCCATGGTGTTGGTCCACCCCGTCCAATTCATTTATTAGGTTCAAAATATGTCGTACTTGTAATGTGGCATGTGCGGGCGCACCTTCATGCTGAAACCACATAGTTGCACGTTGTTGTAGAGGAATATCTTCTATCAAACCTGGAAAAATGTTCTCGCAAAAATTACTGTAATTTTCATCATTCAGTATTCTTGGCAAAAAATATGGACCTATGATCCTTTTCCCGTAAATAACTATCCAAACATTTACAGACCAATGTCTTTGCTGAGTCCGTTGACGTTATTCATGAGGATTCTCATAATGCCAATAATGAAGGTTGTGGTCATTGAAAACTCCTTGTTTTTGTCCGGCCAACTTGATTAGTCTGTCGAAATTTGCGCATTTATTGAACTAAAACTAATAATTTATTTGAAAACGGCTCCGCTTTCGAAATTTTAGTATTCTACATTTTTGTTTTATTTTTTATTTTAGAATATATATCCGGCCGCTGGGGAGTGAATTTTGACTCACCCTGTAGGTACTTAGGTACCTAAATAGAAAAAAATCTTACAACTAATGGTTATTTCTAGCGGCGTCAAAATAGGTATGTTACTGAAAAAAAATATCAGGGCGCCACCAAGCTACGCCAATGTTAACGTATTACAAAAAAATCCCCACATTTGAGTCGGCCACTAAAGAAAACACCGTTTTCAAAACGTAATATCTTCAGTCGTTTCCAAGAAAAACGTATTTCCCAAAATAACTCAGTCATCAACTGAAAATAGGTTTTTGTAGTTATAATGAAAAATCCATTATTTTTTATAGGTTCCTGCCTTGGTTAATTAATAGATAAAGGCATTTTATTACTTTCATAATATTCCTGATAGATAACAGGTCAAAAATTTTGTTTGTTTTTCTTAATAATTTTTCAGACCTACTACCATTTATTATAGATTCTGTTGCGCTGAAACCAAATTTGAAGAGTGACAACCAAGGTAGAAGTGATAAAAACTTGGCACGATCCTTACGAAGGGTTAAAACCCTTTCAAAGGTTTTCCGCATGCGTATTTTGGCACTAGTTAGGTCAGGTTAGACTGTTCTTAAAAAACACTACACGCTTGAGATTTTTCAATAGAATTGAGTAGTTGCCGTTTTGGTCGTTGGAAGGGCCTTTTTTTGATATCGGATTTATGTTGAGCGCCCAAAAATACATAGAAAACACATTACACTTCTTTTTTCAATACAACTGTGTTTTTGCCTTTTTTCCCTAAAAAGGGCCAAGTTTGGACATCAGATTTATGTCCAGCACCCAAAATACATACGAAATCAGTCATCTAGGTTAAAATCGGGATAGAGTGGGTATTATTCATATTTATCAAAGAACCAAAGGTAGGTAGTATCGAATCGAGGTAACTGCATATACAATATAGAACAGTCTTATCCCTGCGATTACAAAAAATCTAAACGATGAAAATTTTTTTACTCTTCAATTTTGGTTTCAGCCTGTGGTTTCAGCCCATCAAAATCTACAAGAAATTTTTTTATCGGCCTGCGTAATTTACCACTTGACCTGTAACTTTTAACTTAAAATAGCACAGTATTAGCACATATTACTAACTATGTGGTATCAGTATGAACTATTTAAGTAGTTGGAATGGCAACCGCTTATGCTCATTTATTTAGCATCACAAATAGGTATAATGACTTGTAGTACGAATTACTTTTTAAAACCATCATCAATTACCGATTGAAACGATAACATACAGGCTATCAAAAGAAAATTGGTGTAACAACTTTGACAGTTGAGAAAATTGGTGAAAATAAGAAAAATATTCAAAAGAAAGAAAAGGGCTTACCTATTATCTACTTTAATATTTTTGATTTCTACTTTCAATGTGCAATTCTAAATTAATAAGCATGATTCCTTTAAATCATTAGATTAGGTATTTTACTGCGCTAAGTAGTACAGAAAAATATTTTTGTATTAGAAATAACTTAAGATGAGATTTAATAAAAATGTAAAATATATTAAAATTATATTTTGTTAGCAGTTGCTCCAAAATTTGTCGTTATCAGATACAAATAAAAAATAATAATCTGTCTTTAGGCAGTAATCCGAGTATTTATAAGTTTCATTCAGTGTGCGGCAATTCGCTCCTCACAACTGAAATACGACCCTTGCAGTCAGATTTATGTCGACTGCGCTATTATTATGGCTAATAATATGAAAACGGATCCTTTGAGGGGCTGTCCCTGATGTAAATACTCAAATATCAGAACGAGGGTTGTAATGTTTATGACGTTACAATCGAATGAGATAGGGGTTGAATTAAATCGAAGGGATTGCAAACAGTCCTTAACAAACACATCTCAACTCAAAAGCCGGCAAGTTAAAACGAAATAGATAATGCGCGAATATTACATTCCGTATAAATTGTAAATTATATACCTAGAAAGGAACTTGTAAATTAAAAATATAATGAAAAATTGATGTAGCTTCAATTGCAAAGAACGATGTTGAAAATGTCCTCTATAAACAAAACGTAACTTAGATAATATAAAATATTGTTTTTTATCTACATGTGACAACGAATATAAAGTATTATTTTGTATCTCGGAAGCTTAAGTATTGTAAATATCTATATATTATTTATAAAGACGCATTATCAACGACCAATACCTATTATTATATACGGTATACAATATTTGTTAAGTTTACCATTTTCTAGTTTTATATATTTAGGCAATGGTTCTTTCATTTCAATATTTCAAATATTTATATCTTGTAAATCATCTGTGTATTATTCTAATACAAAAATCTTTAAATCAAAGTAGTTATGCATTTCCGCTACGAAAATATACAATATGCTAAAAATAATTTAACAGTTTATAATAACCGACTTCAAAGTGAAACGTTTCTCTTGATTTTTTCATTTGTTAAGATAAAGTAAAAATGTTTGAAGGGAAAATAAACAAAGTGTAAAACGCATGTTTGCCCCGATCATATAGGCTAGGATTGTCGCACAAATAAACAAAAAGGCAATAAAACGGGAAAAACAAGTAATATAAAGATAACAAACTAAATTACAGATAATTACCGCAACATCGGCGTCCTTTTGATTTCCGTGGCCCATAAAATTCGGCATCAGCGTCGAATTATATCCCAAATTCTGGCACAGAGCTGTACTTATTTTTTCACATCTTAAACTGTCCGAAAGTTTCACCGAAATAATTAAAAACAAGAAGAATAACACGAAAACCGCGTTCTTCCAGCTCTTCATCGCGAAATAATTTACCGAAGAAATGCAGAAAATGAGAAATTTTATGAATTAAATGGACGTATTAACGTAATTAACAAATATAAATATATATTTTCTTCTGCGAATCACACAATAATTCATATTTAATTAATTGTACTTCCTCTAATAGTCAATATCTTCGATTGCGGCACAGAAAACGACTGAAAACCGACCACGTTTTGTTATTTCGTGCCTGTAGGTCCACAGCACTCTACGTTACGGGTATAAACGAGAGAAGGTCGCTGAACAAATGAACGTCGGCCGGCTTGCTACAAAACAACCGCTTACAAAAGATAAACTTTTTAGAGTACCGTGATAATTTTATGGATGATCCAGGTCGATAAAGCGTAGGATAAACTTTTATGTGACATTTGAGACGTTCGATTTCGGTAGTTGTCGCTGTTTAAGATATATTTTTTCAATAAACATTACTCATGCTAGCTATACCTTATTTGCTACAATAAACCGTATCGGTAATGACTTATCTATGCAGCTACTATTTAATTTATTCCTTCCACTTGACCAATCAAAAGATTTCCCATCCACAAAATAGACGTCACAGAGTTTGATCTGTATAGTCACAATGTCTACGTCTGTAGCTGGCATTAAAGTAAATTAAAATCTACATGGAAAATTTTGAATTATCAAATTTTGCCATCTTTTACTTTTTTCATTTTTTTATACCATAGTCCTATATACCTATTTATTCTTTATTTTCATTTATCAATCTGTTAGTTCTGTCATAAATCAAATAAATTTATGAAAAAGTTGAGTCCCCATAATATTTTTCGCATAAAACTGTGCACTTTTTTCTAATATGAATCAACCTTTACACGTAGTAATATATCACCTACTCCCTACTCTCCACAGCATTATTATTAACCCATGTGATGTCATGATTATTTTATTTAAAAATATGTAAGTAATGTAGTAAGAGTGTATTATTATTAGGCAAGTATATATTTTTATTGATAAAACAATTTGCTACATTTTCCACGACTTTATCGATATGGTTTGTGAATATAAGTGGGAAGCTCACCAGGAATGTTTCGGCACCATCAAAGCAAGCCGCCTTTACAGCTCGCTTACCTAAGGACTTATAGTCGGTTTACATCATGAATAATATCATTAATGAAGGCTTTTATATGCTCAAATATTTCTATGCATTGGAAAGGTTTTTATAAACACTAAATATGCTGTTATTTTAATATCAACTAGCATGAACTGTATACGTAGGTAAATTATACATTTTAGAATTAGTATTTTTTTTTAAATCAATGATTACACAGGCCAACAAAAAAAAATGAGGTTTTTAGATCAGACCTACCTTTTTTATAGATTTTGAAGTGCTGAAACCAAATTTGAAGAATAAAACAAATTTCATTCGTTAATTTTTTCAGGGACAAGTCTCCTCTACAGGGTGTACGTTTGACTGCATATTCACGACGATTTACAAAAAAAGCTAAAGAAATAATTTTTGGGTTTTGAGTTACAAGCCTTCAAAGTTGTCAAAAATAAAACTAATTTAATTAATAACTTCATAACCCTTTTGTACCTGATAGCTACAGCAATGAACATCTTGTTTTCATCGCCTACTGAAATCAAAGTTTTAAATGCGTGACATTGCTACGCAAACCGAAAAGTACAGCCCTGCAAATAATTCCATTTTTCTCAAGAATGGCTTTCTGTAGGCGATTTTCTCAAGAGACAATATATTTTTTAAATAAATCGACGTTTTCAATGTTGCTGCCCGTTTTAAAAAAATACGACCACTGGAAAAGTTTTCACCGCTAAAAGGGAGAGGTAACCGGAGAAAACTATCACCCAGTATATCGATTTGAATAAAGCTTTAAGAAATAATATGCCATAATAGTCCAAATAAATGTGCCAAATTTTAACGCGATCTATAAAAGGGTTAAGAAGTTATTAATTAAATTAGTTTTATTTTTGACAATTTTGAAGTCCTGTAACTCAAAAACCTAAAAGTTTTTATTTAACTTTTTTTTCGTAGATCGTTGTGAACATGCAGTCAAACGTTGTCGGTGAAATTTGTGGTCACCCTGTATATTGAATCACCACAGAAAGCCCGGAAAATCTATCATATCGGTAAGTCGCTGACTGCGATACCTCTTTTTTTTAGAGCCAAGCTGGTTTCCTATGTATTTGAGTGCTCAACACGAATCTGATGTCTAAAATTGACCGACGGCCCTTTTTAGAGCGAAAAAGGACAAAAACCATTAAAATTATATACAGAAGTATAAATCCGATGTCAAAAAAGGGCACTGTGCCCTTCCAAGGGCCAAAAGGGTATACTCAGTTCTATTTCTCTTTTTGACCTTGAAAAGGAAGGGCAGACGCAGTGTGTTCTATTTTGACATCGGATTTAAGTTGAGCGCTCAAAAATACAAAGGAAATTGGTTATCTAGGTTAAAATTGAGACAGAGTCGGTATTCTTCATGTTTCAAAAAAGGTAGTAAGTATTGAGAAAACTGCATATTTAATATAGAAGAGACTTGTTCCTGCGATCACAAAAAATCTAAACGATGAAATTTTTTTTACTCTTCAAATTTGGTTTCAGCACATCAAAATTTACAAGAAATTATAGAACTGATCTAAATACCAAAAAAAATTGTTTGTCAACCTCTGTTATCGTAGGACTATGCGGTGGTGTCTCTTAATATTTCCATTAGCATTTTCCTAAATACTATAAGGCATATTTTACATAGTCGAAAAACGTAAATGGTTCAACAGGGCTCTACTTTTTTTTGTATCTGTTTTACTTTCATACTTGTAGATGGTGTTCCTGGGAACGAAAAAGTTAAATTTAAATTGCCAAATATTCCTAGTCTTATTTAATGTTTTATGACAGTATATGTTTTAATATTTTTTAATTCTATTACAGATTGAAGAAAATGTTTTAAATTTTTTGATTTTAAATAAGAAACCTACCTTACAAATTATTTTCTATTTTTCTTAATTATGAGGTTAACAAATCTTCAATACTCGGAAGTAAGAGAATATCAAAAATATTTATATGATTGTAAATACTCGTGAGCCAAACCATGGCTTATTTTATTTTCTTCGTTTGTTACAATAGGTTGTTTATTTTTTATATCCATTTTTCTTCCATTTTCTAAATTAATTAATTAAGTTTAGTACAATAATTTTTAAACTAAATTTGCTCCATAACCATGTTCTAATTTTTATGAGAAACAGTTGATGCATAGGTACCAAAAAGTTGAAGTTATGCACAACCGCTCACTTAAATTTATAAATTATAATATTGAAGATATCTGCAAAAAACAAGTTTCAGGGACTTACCCTTCCCTTTAAGGAACTGTAACACCCTTGGCCTTAAGAGACATATAAACTATTTTATATTTAGTCACAATACATTCTTAAAATATTGCAATTTCTGGACATAACGTATACATTTCAAATCAGAAGTTATTTTACAGTGATACAGTCGAAGAATAAATTTTGTCATTTAAAATACATGTTTAGAAATATGGGAAGCAATATTTTATATCAAAAAATCATCTCTGGTGGAGAAAAACGTATAACGTTGTGAGATTATAAGTGAATAGAACAGAGGTGTTCACAGACAAGGACCAGATACAAGATCAACAATTACTTCTTACCAAAGTATTAATGACCGCACGATGAAAATTAAACTATATAAAAAAATTAAAATAGAATGAATCTGACCGTGAGTTGGAAACAAATTACATAATTACTACAGCTTATTTCATTTTAACATATAACGGGAAGGTGTTCGAACTTTTTTCTCTAGCCTGATTTCACAGAATTAAAATAGAATTATAGTCTGTCTACAAGGATGTATTATTTATATTTTGTTACCTAGCATGTCTGCTAGCTAAAAAAAATCGTTTATGCCTCAGTTCGGGTAATTGTATTAAACATACTTTTTCTACGGGTCATAATCCATAAAGTCCTTTTATTCCTGAAAATATTGGGGGTTCCAAAATTAACGCAAGATTTGAATTTTGTGCTATTTGTGCGGTAAAGTGTTGCCAACGATAAAAAACATTATGACAGTTCAGGGTTATTAAAAATGGAGCACTACACGAAAGAACAACGCGTTTTCATTGTTGAGCAATATTTTAAAAATAATGACAGCTATAGTTCGCAATTTTCGTATAAAATATGGCCGGAATGGTGATTTAACTTTATCAACTGTGAAGAGATTAACTGAAAAATTCAGGGAGATTGTATATAGGTATCAATTGATCAATCAGTGATCTTAAAGAAGTCGTTCAACACAAAACATCGATGCAGTTTGTGAGAGTGTTGCTGAGAGTCCAGGAACATCAATTTGGCATCGTGGTCAAGAATTGGATATTTTGGGAAGCTCTCTACAGCGTACTCTCACGAGAGATTTACATCTTCATGCTTGCAAAGTTCTCCATAGACCAGTGGTTTCCAATTGGTGGTCCAAGAACCACAGGCGGTCCGTGGTCATCTTCCAGGTGGTTCGCGAGACTAAGCTAAGTAATATCGTATAAGCTGGAACGTTGATTGAGTAAATCAGTTCAGTGCGAACAGCCGAGCTGAACGGACGTGCTTGTTTGTGAGGTGAAGTGATTTCAACGAGGAAAATCTACCTGCCTTTATTAAGGCTACCTGGAAAGAATCCCTTTCTTTCCTTTTAATCACCGACCTAATCCCCGGCTAAGCATAGAGGCCGTCGGCATCTTTGTTCAGGTACCTGTCCCGGGGTTATGCCCAGGTAAGTTTTAACTTATTTATCAGTTATTTGCATTACTTTAAAATACATTTCTTTAAAATTGCGACCCCCGACAAACAATATACCAGACAGACAAATACACCAAAAGACACGTACGCCCCCGTAAGGGGGCATCCCCACACGACTAACACTTACACACCCACCCACCCACACACACAC